CAGGGGGGGATAGACCACCCTCACAGCCATAGCCCCCCCAAGGAGCTCCCCAGCCCTCCTGGGCTCTGCCCCGAGGCCACAACGAGCCACGAGGCCAGCGCTGAGGAGCAGCAGGCAAAGGACCAGCGCGGTCAGGAGGGTCTGTTTGCCCCCCAGGAGCCAATAGCTGTGAGCAGCCTCCTTAGTCCTGGCATTGACACAAGCCACCTTGGCCTGTGAGTCTACAAAGGCCACGTGGAGACAAGCCCAGTACTCCGTGTCCTGGTGGAGCCGCGTGATGTTGTAGGTGTGGGTCCCCATGGGGATCCGAGCCGCGTTGCTCGTGTCCACGTTGGAGCTAAGCAAGAAACTGGACCAGGTGAGGTTGGAGGAGATGGTGTTGAGGTGTGGCTTCCAAGCAACCAGGATATGGTAGGCCTGGACATCCACCACCACCAGCTCCAGGCTGTCCTCGCTGAGCGGGAAGGAGTGGTTGACCATCACGCGGATGCTCTTGGTGTCTGCCCCGAGGAGGTTGTGAGCCACACAGGTGTAGAGCCCAGCGTCCTGCACCGAGATCCCACGGATCTCCAGAGTCCCTTCCGAGTGCACCTTGAACCTCCCTCCGTCCACGTAGGGCATCAGCTTCACCCCCGACGGGCTCACCCAGTAGATCTCCGGGTCGGGCTCTGCCAGCGCTCGGCAGTGCAAGGACACGTCGTCCCCATCCTCTACCTCCAGCCGGGAGGGGAAGCTCTTGCTGGAGATGAGGGGCAGGCACTGGTCTGTCATCTCCCTGAAGGGAACGTCCCGAATGTGCCTCCTCTTGAGGTCGGGGGGCTCGGCACACAGCGTGGACTGCGGCTCCATCAGGCGGATGTGAGTGTCGGTGCTGTTGACCCAGCGGATGACGCAGTCGCAGCGGATGGGGTTGCTGTGGATACTGATCTCCTGCAGGTTGGGCAGCGACTCCACCGTCTGCTTATGCAAGGCACTTAGGGCGTTGTTGTTGAGCATGAGGGTCTCCAGCTGGGGCAGGTGGTGGAAGGCGTTGGGGTGGATGAAGGACAGTTTGGGGTTGTTGGTCACGTCTAGCTTGGTCAGCTCGGGGAGGTTGATCAAGGCGAACTGGTCGATGGACACCAGTTCCTCCATGTTGTTGAGCCCCAGCTCTTTGAGGTGCAGCATGTTGGTGAAGTCGCTTTGCTTGACCCTCTGCAAGGGGTTTTTGTTCAGATCCAGGAACTTGAGGCCGGGGACCTGCTGCAGGGCCCGTTTGGGGACATCTGCCAGCTTGTTGTCGTAGAAGGAGAGGCTCTCCAGGCTCCTCAGCCCTTCCAGGGCATAGTCGGAGATCTCCTTCAGGTTCATCCCCGCCAGGACCAAACTCCTCAGGTTCGACAGGGGCCTGAAGTTCATATCCAGGATGGCATCCACCCTGTTGCCTCCAATCATGAGGATCTCCAGGCTGGGCAGCATCTGGAACCAGCGGCTGTCGACCGTCCTCAGCAGGTTGGAGTTGAGGTGGAGGCGCAGGAGGCTGCCGAGGCCGGCGAAGGCGCGGGGGGAGATCCTGCGCAGCTGGTTGTGGTTCAGGTAGAGCTCCTGCAGGTTGCCCAGCCCGGGAAAGCTGCCATCAGGCAGCTCAGAGAGCTGGTTCTCCTCCAGGTGCAGGCTGAGCAGTTGGGGCATACTCCTCAGCCCCAGGTCCCAGACGTCGGAGAAGCTGTTCTGCGACAGATCCAGCTCCGATAGGTTCCGCAGATAGTCCAACTCGTTCTGCTCCAGCCTGGCGATGTTGTTGCTCTGCAGGAGGAGGGTCTGGGTGCCCTCAGGCAGGTCCTCGGGCACGGAGGAGATGAAGAGGTCATTGCAGTCCACCGTGGCTGCCTCGCGGTACACGGCACGGGGAGTGTACCACGGCCGGACCTGGCACACGCACTGGGGGGGACACTTCACCTTCCAGGGCACGATGGGGATGGCAGTGGCAGCCACCACGCAGAGCAGGAGGGAGCTGGGCTGGAGGAGGCTCATCTTGGGCTGGTGGCACCAGCTTGCTCCAGGCAGGAAAGGCTCACAGGGCACATCCAGAGCAGGGCAGGGGGTGACGGCTGCGTGGGCACAGCACCCGAGGGACAAGATGCTCCATGCAAACCCCTGGCACCATCAGCCCCA